CGTGGCCCGCCTAACGGTCGCATCTCGAAGCACCGAGAAGTTTCGGCGATATATCGAACGATGTAAAATTCCACCCGTCAAATAACGAATTAGAGGTGGGACTACTCCCGAATATTCTCGAACATAATAATTTGTATATATATATATATATATATATATATATATATAACGATGATTGAGGTAGTTTGTTGATAAGATAGTATCGAACTGTAAAGTAGTAATAAAGTACAATAAATATATTTATATAAATTCGAACCGCTCGTTTTATTTAAAAACGGTACAATATTTTGTGTTAACAAAAATACTACTCTGTCTTATTAAAAAATAACAATTCTTTGTTTTTACTTATTTTTCAAGTTTTTTTTTAAATAATAAATAAAAACAGAGAACTGCTATTTTTTAATAATTAAAATTTAATAGAGGAATATTAAACTAGAAATAGAAGCTTTGACACCTTTTCTCCTTCAAGCCTGTGTTGATGTGGGGTAAAAAGAAGTCCAGCGCCACTAAACACGCGCTCGCTCGGAACATTCTTTGGTGATATAACTAAATATTCCCTTGTTTACTTTCCACCATGTTAGAGGGTCGACGTTACCTGCCACGCGTTTTTCCGATAAGTATTATGTGACAGCTTTACGGATTAAAAGATAGACAGGGTTTTTAAAACTAAGAAAAGGCATTTTATCTTCTTCACCATCACTCGTATCCATCAGTAAACTCACCATTTCTTTTAAGGACAGACACGGCTTTGCATTCGGGTAAAGTGAATTGGAAGATATATTGGTTTGATTGTCTCTGAGCAAGTCCAAAATATGCTCTATGACAAGCTCTTTAGTCGACGTATTTTTAAAAAAATTTGCTTTATATCTTGGGTCAATGAAGGTAGCCGTGGCAAACAATATTTCATTCTCTAAACCCGAAAACTTGCGAATGAGCTCGTCTTTTATTATGGTAATCGTATCACCAATATATTCATCGGACGAATCAGCTCATGAACAACTTTTTCTAGAGTGGCGATTAAGGGAATTACAGAAGAAATAGAAACATCGATAGCACTTAACTCTCTGATTACTTCTTCAAATGGTCTTAGTAAACCGATAAGTTTTTCAACAATCATCCAGAAGCTCTTCAGAAGCCAGTTGGGGAATTTTATTATTTGCCGAAGCGTACAGACGTAATGACTCTTTGACTTAAAAAATACGCTCCAACATATAAAAGTACTGTTCCACCTAGTAGTACATTATTGAAGCAGTCGAATGATGAAAATGAGTGGCCATATTTTTGCATTTTGTTATGGCAGCCACGACAGATTCTTGAGCCTTCATCCCTGCTTGCAAAACACGTTTTGAATCTTGTGAGAAGCACAGTCAATATGTTCAACATTTATTAAGTTAACATCTTCTTCATATTAACACCTGCATCGCGAACTACACATTTAACTTTTTCTTTGGGTATTTCCCAAAACGACAAGATGTCTTTAAGTTTGTGAGCAATATTTCCTGCAAAATTGCTGGATTACTAAATTTATCTGAACTTATCTAACTACACACCGCCCTCGCAAATGAGAGTGCCTGCAGTGTCGGGAGACAATTAAAATTTCCAAATTAAAAAAAAACTGAATATTTGCATTCGCATTCGCGAATGTCGGTGGCGTATATTCGCATTCGTATTCGGGAATGTTCAAAATTGACTTTCATTACATCACTAATAGAGAGCATTGCAGACACATAGGAAAATTACTTCTCAGAATTATAAAAAGATATTTCAAAAGATGACTCAGTCTCACAACACAAGAAACATGCAATCAGAGAGGTAAAACGCCAGAGCTCGATGGCATACCAGCGTAGACTTTATAAGCAATGGGCAAAATTGGCGTAGATGTAGTACTGAAAATGTGCAATATGATATGGATCACAGGTGAATGGTCTGATGAGTGGTGCGAATATACCTTTATCAGTAGGTACTTATAAAAAAGGATCACTAATCGTATGCAACAATTAGAGAAGTATTGCCCTTATTTCCCAGGTAAGCAAAATCCCGCTACATAACATTAATAAACGGTTAAAGAACTTTCTATTTCCAGAGATAGCCGAACAACAATGCGGATTCGCACCAGAAAAAGGAACACGGGAGCAGATGCTGAACTCCAGACAGATAAAAAAAAAAGCGAGAGAACACAACATACCAATGCTACTCTGCTTAGTAGATTACACAAAGGCTTTCGATTCAGTAAAATGGGATCCCCTCTGGAATATAATGGAAAATATGGGAGTACCTAATCACCTAGTTAACCTAATGAGAAATATGTATGACCAAAACTCAGATAAAGTTAAAATGCAGGGAATATATTCAGATGAATCTAAAACAAAGAAAGAAATTGGATAGGGCTGCGTATTATACACCATATCTACTGAATATATTAATAGAAAATTTCTAGACGAATGGGATGCAGGACTCATTATAGGAGGTAGAAAAATCAGCAACCTGCGATACGCAGATGACACACTTATACTGCAGAGAATAAAAATGATTACCATCACTTAACGACTTAGCAGACAAGCGAATAATAACAAGGAATACTAAGCTCAGGTTGGTCAATATCCTTATTTTTCCCATTACTATATACGTAGATGAAATATGGACTTTTGAAAAAATCGATAGAAGTAAGATCAAAGCCTTCGAACTGTGGGTCTATGGAAGAATTCTGCGCGTATCCTGAACAGAACATAGAACCAACCTGTCAATTCTGAAAGAGCTTTATATAAAAGACAGGCTATTAAAAAAAGTAAACCGAGTATACGTAATTTACTTCGGTCATATAGCTAGAAAAATGGGAACCATGGAACTATTGGAAGTAGAAGGAGAGGTAAAGGGGCCAAAGACCAAAAAGAAGATCTTCAACACGATGGTCAGACCAAATGAAGACTCTGGTGGGAAAATCCTTACATAAAGCCGTCCATATGGCATAGAATGACAGCCGATGGAGACAACAAGCTAATAATATTTATAATATTTAGAGTGTCACTACACAAGGTCACTACACAACTCAAATAATGAAAAGGTGGCAGATTTTTTTCATGTATTCAAGTATTGTTCTGAAGCTATTTTCTTGTGGCATTTTAAATTAATTACTTTTTAACTGGGAATAAGCCACAATTAAAGGTTAAAGTACGTTTATTGACTTTTCAATTTCCACTTCGGAAATCTTTCTCAAAATACAAACAGTAAATTAAATAAAATTTGTTTTTTTATACTTAGTGAAAAAATCTTCTAATAATTTAATTTTATCTGACTCATTTATATTGACAATTCTAACATACATTATGCATTTTAAAGTAGACGACTTTAAAATGATATTGGCAATATTGTTGAGTTGCGCTCCTGGGACGACTTTACTTATAGTTCATTCGATTACATGAAATGAACTTTAACTTGAGAATATACGTCAGAAAAAATCATAGCATGTAATTCGTCTTTAAAAAGACAAACACATGCCATGATATGTTTGTTATTTAAAAAACATAAATGGTGTATCCTCTATATGTTACTGACTTACTAATACTGGTATTCTCTTATTAATAACTTACTCTTTCAATATGGGTAACCGGATCCTACTACTATTTTACTACTATTTTCATTATCCCATGCGTGTTTACATATTTGAGATCTATCAAATTCTCTATTTTTAATATAAGATTGATGTTCACTTATTCTAACATTTAATGGCCTTGATGTTTCACCTAAATAAAACTGATCGCAGTCACAAGGTATTTTATAAATGCAATTCTTTGTCCGTTCTTGTTCATTGTTAAGTTTGGTTTTGGACAAAATAGATCTCTACGTGTTTGTTGTTTTAAATGTTGTTGAAATGTTGAATTTATTTTTGGTTTTTCAGTCATAATTTACTATGGAATAACTAACAGGAGAATTTTACTGTCTTCATGGCATATGTTTGTCTTTTTAAAGACGAATTACATGCTATGATTTTTTTCTGACGGATATTCTCAAGTTAAAGTTGATTTCATGTAATCGAATGAACTATCTTATAAGTATAGTCGTCCCAGAAGCGCAACTCAACAATATTGTCAATATCATTTTAAATTCGTCTACTTTAAAATGAAAAATGTGTGTCTGAATTGTCAATATAAATAAGTCAGATAAAATTAAATTATTAGAATAATTTTTCACCAAGTAACAAAAAAATTAAGTTTGTTTAATTCACTGTTTGTATTTTGAGAACGATTTCCGAAGTGGAAATTGAAACGTCAATAAACGTACTTTAACCTTTAATTGTGGCTTATTCCCAGTTAAATAGTAATTAATGTATTCAAGTGGTAGCATATCTAAATCTATAGTGATCAAAATCTTTGCGAAAGATAAAGTTCATTGTCTATTGCTCATGATGCACTCATGCGTAAAAAACTTTTAAATACCTAAGCTTTCCAGTTTCTTTACTGTGCCATCTTTTTCATTTACTATACCAAGTTTTTGAACTAATGGTTTTCAAGAATCCCTGTCACCATTGATGAGAAACTGATACTTAAATAAGTTGGATTTAGAAATCTTGCTTGTCAAATATTTGATCTTGTACAGCATCTCAAAAATGGGTTTGAACGAGACCTTTTTCTAAAAAAATCCAACTGATCAAGTGAGGGATTTAAAGTGGCAGTAGGTAAGGAAAATATTGCACCAACAAATTAAGTATCAGTTTCTTCAACATGACTTTTGGGACAAACAAGTAAATACCTTCTAATCAATATTTAATTTCAAAGTATTGAAAAAAGATTGGTTATTCAAATTATGTTAAATACCATTTGATTTGACTTGACCAAATGAAAGACCATTTTATTTTCGAACAGTAAATATCTTAATTATCTACAAATCAAAATATTGAAACAAAATATTATATTCTCTTTTACATTAGTATATACGTCAAGCAAACCTACACATTGGATAATAAATTGCTTGATAAAGAAGTAAATATTATTTATGAGATATACCTGCAAACTTCAACGTGAAGCATACATCTGTTAATATACGTTCGACCATCGGTTCCACATACAAGATCTTTGTCTCCACCACATTTGTGTTCGCACTTAGATCCGCTGGACCGCTTGCAGAGGTTGGGATCAGATGACAACGTTATACCTGTAACAAAAGTAGCCGATTACATTTATTTTATTGAGCGTATGGCTACATCACAGGTTCATATATATTCATATATATATATATATATATATATAATATATATATATATATATATATATATATATATAGATATATATATATATATATATATTATATATATATATATATATATATATATATATATGTATATATATATATATATATATATATATATATATATATATTATATAAATTACAAACAACAGTAAATACAAAAATATTATTCTACAAACAAACATCTAGATTATAAATATATTCGATTGACTCTTTTATAGCAGCCAGGAAATCCGAAGGGTTGCCGTTATAGGATCTAATCGGGCATTCCTCTACCATGTGTTTTACTGTTTGCCATTCGGCGTCGCAGTCGCAATTTGGTGATTGTATTTTTCCCCATCTAAAAAGTGATTCGGAACATCTGCCACAGTTCGTTGTTATTCTATTGAGTGTGTTCCAAATTCGTCTCGATTGGTTGAAGCCCTCAGGTTTGCTTGTAATACAAGGCATGTTCCAGTTAGCTGGTGCAGCGTTATTCTCCCATTGTTCTCTCCACTGTTCAGTTACATTAAAGTTTTATCTACTAGCCTTTTTGCTGTTTTTAGAGGCGGGTGTCTTGAACGGAGCCTATTTATGTCTCTGGCGGAAGTTTCGACATGGGAGCGGAGCTCAGGATCAGTATTGATTTTTGTAAATTCTCTGACAAGGGCATGTTCCCGGCGGATGGGTCGTGGTGCTATATGACTGAAAGCTGGTAACCAGTAAGTGGGCGTGGCCTTGATTGTGCCCGATATAGTTCGCATGGCTTGCTTGAGTTGGACATCAACACGGTGAGTATGTGGACTGTTCATCCATACTGGTGCACAGTATTCCGCTACGGGGTATACCAGTCCTAATGCTGTCGATCTAAGTGTGGGTGATGAGGAGCCCCATGTAGTGCCGCAAAGCTTTTGCAGGATGTTGTTACGAGTTCGGAGTTTTGCAGCAGTCTTAGTAAGACGCTCTTTAAAATTTTAGCGTTCTGTCAAGTGTAACACCTAAGTATTTTAGCCGATTATAAGTCGATTACAAATATAATCTATTATAAAACATTTTACAAATATTTTGTCTTTATTTAAAGTTAATTTAAGGCACATCCACGTGTAGAGACCGGTCTGTATAGTGTATAGATTTTATAAGTATAAAAATTTATTAATTAGATAGTTAAATGTGAAGTAATTATTGCAAAATAGTACTTTAAATGTGTTAATATCAAGAGTATACTATTTTAAGCGAAAAAATAGATCTTTTAAAAGACATAGGTTGCTTCCAAACTGTCGAAGTTTAGAGGTTGACGTTTACCACTCGGTATGTCAGGCTCCAAGAATATTTCCCAGTCCACAGTAGGTACACTACGCGCACGGAAGTCTAAACCTTCATTTCCAAGAGGACCAATCGCTCGAGCTAAATATGTTGATCTTGCAAGTTGCTCTCCTTTCAAATTTCCTCTTATTGACTCTCCGCAAAAAAACGAAAAGTTTAAAAATACACTATTTGAAAATCCGTCAAAGTTATAAAATCAGTTGTAAAACAACCAGCAGTAAAATTGTAAGTACTAAAAAAGAAATAAGGAAAACGGAATATAGTTTCTTTATCGTTCAAAAACTATAAAGTGTTTAATTACCTGTTAAGTGACGACAGTGGCAGCAGATGTAAAGCATATGATAATGATGCCAGATGTTCACTTTGTACTCAAACGATTTTCATGGAGAGATATTTTTACAATGCATGGTGTATTGCAGATTTTAAAAAAAGGCGACAAAGTTACGACTACATTTGTGTAATACTATTGAAATTGTTCTAGAATTAGGTTTTTTATTTCTGATATAAGAAAACCTATTTACGTTATCATACCAAAACTATGATTATATATTTAATGGACTTTTCTTCATTTTCATGATTTATACATAATACATGATCAAAACAAGTATTTTTTAGCCTACAAAATATCGACAACATGTAATGGATAATACTTGGAATACTTTTTTATACGAGACAAATTATACTCGTATAGTTGCCAACACATTTTTTCTGTTTAAGTTAGATATTAGAGTTTTAGATCAGGCATTAGGTATTTTGACTAAAACATAGTCTTAAGTGGGTAACTTATGTACCGTAATAGTATTTCCAATAAAATAGTGTAACGGAAAATTAAAATTATAGTTCGATTTCTGTATACTGTTTATTAACACTATACAAAATATTGCTTACAAATAGAATATGTTGATAAGGTCTAAATAAACATATACTAAAAGGGAGCTCTTAAATATTGATAAACATTATAAAAGTAATTTCTATAAAAATATCCAACGTTGCAGACTAGACAAATATGTACATGTTTTAGGTCCCTACATGTTTTAGATCCCTTTAATCAGTGGTGACTATTCGAAGATTTGTAATGATAAACAGTCACCATATATTCGCAGTGAGTGATGTCACTGCCTTCTAGAACTCTCTGAAATTCGTTACAGAAGCGGGTTTCGTCGTAATAGTGTTTCAACTGAAACAACTTTTTCAATATACCAAGAAGGAAGAAATCACAATAATAATGGGTGATTTAAATGCAAAGATCGGAAAAGGTCGAGTAGATAATTGCATTAGAAATCAGATCGACTTTATACTAACCAATCTAAGAATTAGAAATTACATTATAAGCATTAAAATACTTACCCTAGAGCAGATGTCCCATCAGACCATAACCTCCTTGTATTAAAAATAAAACTGAGGGTAAAGAAGATAATAAAATCCAAAAGCTCTAAGGTGAATACTCAGTTGCTCAAGATAAACGAAAAACGTTAAAATCCGAAGTCCAACATGTTATAAACAACTCAAAATCTGGTAGATCGAGCTGATTAAATTTAGATACAGACATTTTATGCGCAATAACTATCCTCTTTAACAACATATACAAATCTGGTGAGATACCTACACAATGGCTACTATCGACCTTTATTCCACTACCAAAAACAAGGAATCCCAAACACTGTAATGTCTATAAATTAATCAGCTTAATGTCACAACTATTAAAAACATTTTTAAAGGTTATACATACAAGAATGTTCAGAAAGTGTGAAGCGGATTGGCTTTCGTGATGGCATCGGAACAGTTGAAGCTTTATATACTTTCACAACTCTTGCTTAAAAATGTCGAGACCAACAGAAAGACCTTTTGGTCGCATCGCTTTCGACAAAGTTAAACATAATATTCTCGTGAAATGTCTAAGGCGAAAAGAACTCAATAAAAATAATATTAACATAGTAAGAAATCTCTATCAGAACCAACAGGTTGTGATAACATTAGATGAAAATAGCATGGATGCGCAACAGATAAGTAGAGGTGTGAGACAAGGTTGTGTACTTTCACAAAAATTCGTTATACCGACGATACAGTCATTATCGCTGAAAGTGAGAAAGACCTGCAGACGCTACTAAATACAATTTGTGGTACTGGGGAACAGTTTGATTTAACAATAAACATAAAGAAAACAAAAACCACGGTTATCAGTAATAGGGGTAAAGTCATAACAAGGACCCAGATAAAATTAACTTAGGAGTCTGGAATACTAAAGATCTAAATCCGAAATCAGAAATTCAGTCAATAATAGAGCATCCAAGAGCTGCCTTTTTGAAGGAAATGAGGAAATTTATAAGAAAATAAAGTGTCAATCTGCAAATTCGATATCGTATGGTAAGATGTTATATTCACTCTATTATTCTTTGGTGTCGAAACTGCCAAAGATTGGACTGTTATTGTTGACTTGGTAAGAAAGCTAAAAGTTTTTGAGATGTAGCTTTTTAGAAGAATTTTGAAAATACCATGGACCGATCATATTACGAAAGAAATGATAAGAGACAGATAACTTCAGTTTCCTTAACTTAGAAATGAGAAGTACTAGTTACTGCAGCTGATTATGAAGGATAGAATTGAAAAAAAGGAGTTCTGGTAGACAACAAATATCTTGGCTGAAAAACATTCGCAACTGGGTCGGGTTAAACACACAGACGCATTTAAGAATAGCAGAAGATATAGACGAATTTGCAATGGTTATAGTAACCTTCATTGCCGGTACTAGAAGAAGAAGAAGATCGATAAATTGCACTATATGTAAACTAAGATTAGCAGAATATATTTATAGTAAAAGTGTCTTTTAGGTGTCTAGTCTTCTTACAGTCTTCTGTCTATTACCTATTTACTACTACCCAACAGTGGAAAAATTAACATTTAATCAAAAAATACACATTTTATTTGCCGATTTGAAGAAAGTCTATGACAGTGTCCTAAAAAATATGGGAAATCTTGAAAAGTATGAACATAAGTGTTATGATAATAAATTCTAAAGGAGTTATATAGAAATAACATTATATAACTGAAAACGACAAATGGTTTGCCAAATCCATTTGAGGTAAACAAAGGTCTCAAAACAGGGTTGAAAGCTCTTATGGAATCTATTTTAAAAAATACTTAAAACGTGCTTAGAATCTCTGAAAGAGGACGTGTAAAAATTAACTAAATAAATTAAATTAATAATTGCCATAACTCAAAACTAAAATTTTATGTTATAGGTTTTAAAGATTAGGCTTTAGTTACCGAAACTCCACAGTGGCCGCTTAATAAAAGGGAAAAATTGTATCGACCTCATGAGAATCATGAAAATTGGCAAAAATCGTGCCACTTTTATTTATTTAACGTCTTTATAAAATCAGTTTATTTGCGGCAAAATACAACATTTGCGTACAAAAGCTGCACTCTTTACCTTTAAAAGGTATCTTGATTTTTGTCGATAAAGCACTGATCAAAAGATATCGAATTTGCACCGTCGAGATGATACAAATTTTATTTAACATGATTTCACAGGCTTAACTGACATTAAAAATTGTCAATCGCATAAATAGTGTTAAAAACATTTTTATTTAAAGCTGAGCTACATTTTTTATTTGAAATATTTTTTCCATGGCGTACAGATTCTTGGTAAATCGATTTTTTTCCGTTTTCCCCCATCTACGAGGGGGATTTTAAAGAAAGCCAGAGAGTAAAAGTGGTAAACTTTTTGCAT